AAAAAAAAAAAAACAAAATGACAAATTTCCCAAACTCAGTGTTTCTCAGCTGTAGGCTAAAAGTAGAGCATGTGTGGCATCCATCTGAGTTCATCATCTTACCCCAATGGGAACTGGGAGCATGGAAGAATGTGCTGGCGTACATGCTGTGAGAAATAGTCCTTTGTCTCCAAACCAGTAGCCTCGTGTCTTCTGCCAGCATCCATGACACAGTAAGGCCAACTTATTAGCTTGTAAGAATCAAATCCCAGAACTCACATATATTAGTAGGGCTTCATCTGGGTTTAATCCAATGCAAGTCTTGGCTTTTCAAGGAAAGGAAGAAACACTGAGGCCAGAGTATGTATTATTCTTGGTCCTTTTCTACGAAGCCACCTTGGGCAGGCTGTCAGTGACGCTCACTGCTCTTCTCAACACAGTCTACTCTATAAAACAGCATCTCTTAATGGCCTCTCCCTCTCCTAATCCCTTAAGGCCTAGAAATGATAATGGCTCTGCTACTGCTGTTACCACCAGGCACCATCCTTGTGGTTTTCCTGTAACCTACTCATACCTTTGTAATGAGTCCCCTTGTAAATAAACCCTCCTCAAATTATCTTAATTTGAGGGTTGCCATCTGTTTCTTGTTGGAACTCTGACAAGCAGTTAAGTCAGGATCCAACAAGTTACTACCATGACACCCACTGTCAGCCATGTACATTCCAAATGGGAGTTCCTTGAGGAAGGGTGTCCTGGATAAGAAATACCCTGCCTTAAGACGAAAAGTAGATGGAAGGAACAGGTGCTGCCACTGTTTTCTCTATTGAGCCCCAATAAATAGACCTCTGCTTTAAAAATTAAGACGATGATTTAGCACACTTTTTCTTAAAAGGTTAGAATGCAATATTTTAGGTTTAGTAGGCCAGATGATCCTTGTCACAACTACTTAACGCTGCTACTGCAGCACAAAAGCAGCCAAAGAAAACAATGACTAAGCGTTACTGATGGGGAGTGCCCGTAGCTCAGTGGATAGAGTGCCGGCCACATACACTGAGGCTGGTGGTTCAAACCCAGCCCAGGCCAGCTAAAACGACGACAACAAAAAATGAAAAATAGCCGAGCGTTGTGGCAGGCACCTGTAGTCTCAGCTACTTGGGAGGCTGAGGCAAGAGAATTGCTTAAATCCAAGAGTCTGAGATTGCTGTGAGCTGAAATGCCATGGCACTCTACCCAGGAAGACAGTTTGAGACTCTCTCTCAAAAATAAATAAATAAAATTTAAAAAAAAACCATTACTTATAAAGCTGGCTGACCCAATTTAGACCAATGTTGTCCAATAGAAATCATATAGGTAACTTAAATTTCTAGTAGCTATATCAAAAAGCAAAAATAATAGGTAAAATTATTTTTTGTTTTATTTAAACCAATATATCCCAAATATTAACATTTCAATGTGTAATATAAAGAACTGAGATATTTTATATTTTGTACTAAATCTTCTAAATCTAGCATGTACTTTACAAAAAACATATCTCAATCTGGATGCTAAATTTTCATCAGAAATACTTGATCTATATTTAGATTTAATGAAATGTACAGCTGAAAAGTAGATTAACATACACACGTTATTCTAAACATACTTAAAAGTTTTATAATAATTTTTAATTTAAATTAATTTAAAATAAATAACATTAAAAATTCAATCCCTTGGTCACACTAGTCATATTTCTAGTGCTTGATAGCCATGTGTGGCTAGTAGCTACCATCTTAAACAGTGCTGGTCAAGACAATATTAAGCTAAATGTGACTGGCTTCCAAGATGGGTTAAGAAGGACTGAAATAGTTTCTCCTGCCTTCGATCTGTAACTCAGGACCATCTGGATTTTCGACCAGGGTTCCCTGAAAGGATCTTAGGTGTGCCACAAAAATTTTCAAAGATCATTAATTAAATTATTTTTGAAAGAAATTCAAAGCATAATAAGCACGTTCTTTTTTTTTTGATCAACATAATTTAAGTGTGCCATGAAAGCTTAACTATAGGTTCAAGTGTGTTGTAAGGTTGAAAAACACTGATCTGAAACATTAGCCTCTAGTTCTATGAATGCTCAACCTCATTTTCTTAGCCTCTTTGCCAGAATCCTGATCTTTTAATACTTAGGGCTACTGCCTTAGATATGCTAGACTTTTTCCCCTGCCCAAACTGAATCTAAGCACATACTTAGAGTGCTGACATTTCTGGCCCACCTTAACTGTGGAACAAGTTAGTCTAATTCTTGTCCATCTGAATTCCCATTGTGGACTTTCTCGTCCTCACTTTAGGCTATCTTGTTCTATAGAACTCTAAGAGCAACATAATCAAAACTTGCTTATTCTAAACTTATTGGTGAATTAAGCAAACTTAACTGTGAAGGTGTAACATCCACAGTTACATTCACTGTCAATCAGTGTGTATCCAACTTGAAATTTTACCTTCTTATGTACCATGTATCTTAACTGTGCAGCTCACCAAGTTCAGCTCTTGGTCAACTTAAGATACACACATACAAAATAATTTTAGAGCAATTACTGTAGGTACACACCTCAAATGCAACCTCACATTTCATAAATGTGATCATCTACGAAAACAAGTGGAGAGGAAATAAAGGTAACTCCATATACTTCCCAAATGTCATTTTGAATTTGAACATTTTCTCCTAAACCCAGATACAGTCCCTTTTGATTTTACTTTCCTTCTTGGGCACATGATAGTAAGCAAAGTGACCACTCAATAACTAGAAGCTGACTAGAGAAAAAGAAGCATAAGCACACACACACAAACCTAAATAATCAATACCAATTGTTAAAAGGAAAGACAAACGCACAATCCTGATAATCTGTAGAAATCCCCAAAATTAAAGATTATCTTTAAATAAATAAGAGAAAAAAATGCTTACTCATTTCCTTCTGGGCTCCTAAAGGAAAAGTATGTTTCTCAAATCCTTTCTTTTTATATCCATATCTTTTGCCTTCTAAAGGTCTAGGATTAGATCTATTTTCTGAGTACACTATTTCTGAACCTATCAATAATTAAAACGAAAATTCATTAACATTAAAAAAGACTTAATTAAGAAAATATGATTGGTAAAGTATTTTAAAAAAATAAAAAAAACCTGAATCTTCATTTCTCAAAATGTCCTGTAGCAAAGAAGCACAACGATCAAGGCCTTGTACAGCTTCAGTCTGTAAGGAGAAAGTCATTTAGAATACATTTGCTTATAACATTTTATTACAGAAAAAACTCTAGTTTTCAAATGTCTTTATTTATAAGCAATTTATTATTAGAAAACATTTTTAAGCAATAGACTTCATACTTCCTTAGAGCAACTAGTATTTTACTTTTGCATTTTACTTCTTAGCTTTTACCTGAAGATTAATTAAGATAGTGTATATTCTATCTATTCAGTTTAATCTTACCTGACTTGCTGAATCAGAATTGGTGGAATGGCCAGAATCTGCACTGAAATGTGTTATTTTTCTTAAATGGGTCCTAGAAAATAAGCTCATTAATAGTCTTGCAAATAATACCAGTATGTTTTTCCCAAAATATATCAGTAGTTACTTTCTTTCCAGCAAAGGAAAGATTGTCTAACCAAGTATAAGACTGATTTATAAGGACGTTATGAAGACTAATGTTAAACACTAAAATGATTAACATGGGCAGATATGAACAGTTACTCCCCAGAGGTTATGAAGGAATGTACAGGCCCATCTGATTTTCTGGGGTAGGCAAAATAAGGTATAGTCTTTCAATGACGTGAAAAAATTTAAAACTTTCAAGTTAGGGCGGCACCTGTGGCTCAGTGAGTAGGGCACTGGCCCCATATATGGAGGGTGGTGGGTTCAAACCAGACCCCGGCCAAACTGCAGCAAAAGATAGCCAGGCGCCTGTAGTTCCAGCTACTCAGGAGGCTAAGGCAAGAGAAATGCCTAAGCCCAAGAGCTAGAGGTTGCTGTGAGCTGTGATGCTACAGCACTCTACCAAGGGCGACAAAGTGAGACCCTGTCTCTAAAAAAAAAAAACTTCCAAGTTACAGAGTGGAGCCTATGGCTCAAGTAGAGCGCTGTCCCCATATACCAGAGGTGGCGAGTTGAAACCCAACCCTGACCAGAAAAAAAACTTCCAAGTCATAAACTTCTTTAAGTACTTACCCTTTCTTCCCATTTGTTAATTTAGTAGATCCAGCATGTGCTCCTGAAGATAACACCTATGACATAAGGTATTATATTATAGCAAGTATACACATATTTTTCTATTCTATTTTCAATATCCTATCTTGATAAAACCTGAAATGTCATTCACTTTTTCTTTCTTTTTTGCATCTTCCCAAACTGAAACTCTGCCTATCAAACAATAGCCCTCTTTCCTCCTGTGCTTGGTAATCTTCATTCTGCTTTCTCTGAATTTGACCCTCTAGACACCTCATGTAAGTGGAGTAATACAGTATTTTGCTTTTTGTGACTGGCTTATCTCACTTAGAATAACATTTCTAAGCTTCATCCATGCTATGCAGTATAGACCTAAACTATTCTTCCTTTTTAAGGCTGAATAATAAATATACCATTATTTCTATGTACCATGTTATTCATTTTTTAATAAATGTTATATGAACTAAAAGTCCAAACTTATAATTTAACTCTTATACAATAATTTTGTCAAGCATGTAACATATATTTATTCTTTGTCTATTTAAGCAGAAAAGGAAACTCAGTTATTAAACCACAAGTCCCTACTGCGGTAAGTCCAAGCTATATTAATCCCTAAGTATGTTCTATATTTCAGACTTCTTTGAAATACCCAAGTTAATTGAAAATACAGGACAGAGTTCTTAACTCTGGTTATCTACGTTCTTTAGAATGTCTGACAAGACCAGCACATGAAAACTCTACCGTTCCTCTTTATCTACATCTCGTTCTCTTAAGTCTTTTTAAATTCATATACCAATGATAGCTAAAAAATTTTGGGGGGCTTTACAAGTAACATAATTGGGCTACTTCTGTGTTAAAAAAAGAAAAAATATGCATTTGCTTTTCCGTGTACTCAGTATCTTCGGACTTACGTAAGAAATAACTAATTGCCTTTGCCTCTGGGTAAGGAATTTGAGTATCTGGGGGACACAGTGAGATGGGAGCCTTTCCGTGGTATACTTTTTGATATCTTAATAACTTTATATCTCTATTACAAATATAACTTTAAACAGATATGAGTTAAAGTTCCTAATTCTCTCCTCATTCTACCGGTCAGAAATAGTCACTGTTGGCAGTTTAATTTATAATTTTTTTACATGTTTGGATACTTCATTCCAAGATAGCTTTTAACAGTAACTACCAAACTTTCTGAAATTATAGAGTATTCCATTATTTACTTGAATAAGTATATGCATACTTCTAAGAATGCTAGTGAGAATATATTTTATAAAACTGGGTTGATAGGAGTTATATTTCTCCTTGAGATAACCTGGAATATGATGAAGGGTCCTGACATCAGCAGTAAGAACAGATATCGTAGGAAATAAAGACCTTGTTTAATGTAGCTCCACTGCATCACACTTTCAGAGTCTTTCCCTTTGGTGTATCTATATGAGCAACCCAGATAGAATCATAATAAAAATCTACACCATTGGCTCGGCGACTGTGGCTCAAGTGGCTAAGGCGCCAGCCACATACATCTAAGGCACCGGGTTCGAATCCAGCCCGGGCCTGCCAGACAACAATGACGGCTGCAACCAAAAAATGGCTGGGCGTTGTGGTGGGTGCCTGTGGTCCCAGCTACTTGGGAGGCAGAGGCAGAAGACTCACTTGAGCCCAGGAGTTGGAGGTTGCTGTGAGCTGTGATGCCACAACACTCTACCCAGGGGGACAGCTTGAGGCTCTGCCTCAAAAAAAAAAAAAAAAAAAAAAAATCTATACCATGATGCCACTATACCCTGGGATCAAGTCCAAAAACAAATACCACAATTATTACTTCTCAAAATTAAAAAGTACACTGAGAGGAATGTCTGGCATAACTATAAGATTATCTATGATATTTCTCCATGAAATACACAGGAGGCTATCTTACAGAAAATCTGGTAAATGTAATTACCCATGATAAAAACACCCCGGAACAGTAGGTATCTTATTGGAACATTTCCTCCAAATCTTTTTTGTTTTTTCTTTTGAAACAATAAAGAAGTCTTTCATATGTTTTACACAGATTGCACAACCCTAACCATTTTACATTTGCCATGTTCTCTCTCAATATAGATATATAGCATTATTTTTTTTTGTCTGAACCACTTCAGAGTAAATTGTAGACGTAATATTCCTTTATTCCTAAAGATTTCCTAAGAACAAGGCCATTTTCTACTATATATAAATATCAAAACGAGGAAATTAACATTGATATAATATTGTGATCTAATGAACAGATTTTATTCATATATTTCCAATTATCCCAATATTGTCATTTATTAAAAAAAAAAAAAAAACAAACCTCTGGACCATATCTAATCCAGAATCACTTGTTTTAAATTGACATAGCTCGTTAGTCCCCTTGAATCTACAGCTCCTCAGTCTGCCTTTCAGCATCTCTTAAAACTTTTGACACACAGGGTCTGGCAGAAGTAATACCCATTTGTGCTGGAGTGTGATGATGTTACAGAATTACATGCTTATGATTTTGTAATGAAAGACTGGTAATTTGTAAAAATTACCAGTTCATTAAAAAGGAGCATTATTTGTGCAATTACTTGTGCATATAATTCTGTAACACTTGAGCACAAAAGGGCATTACTTCTGCCACTATTAAAAAGAATACAGGCCAGTTATTTTGTAAAATGTTCCTTTGGACATTTAGATTTGTCTGATGCTTCCTTATAATTAGACCCAGATTATTCATTTTTGGCAAGAATCCACAGATGTGTTGTGTCCTTCTCAATACAGTAAGTAGACACATCAGTTTGTCCCATTACTGGTGATATAAAGCTTATTTAACGAGGTGTCTGCCAAGCTTTTCATTGTAAAGTTACTACTTTTATCTTTGTAGTAATTAAGCATTTTGTGGGGAGATACTTAAGACTATGTAGAAATCCTAATCATCAAACTGTTACCTAGTAGTTTTAGCATCCATTGGTGATTCTTCCCTGAATAATTGTTAGACGGTGTTCTTCTAACTGCATCATTCTTTCTATATTTATTAGTTGGCATAATACCATATCTTCATTCATCTGTAAGTATTAGGTTGTTTCCACATCTTGGCTATCATTAATGCTGCAATGAAGATGAGAGTGCAAATATTTCTTTGATATCTTTATTTCAATTTTATTTTTTTTGAGACAGAGTTTTTTATTTTGTTGCCCTCAGTAGAGTGCTGTAGCATCATAGCTCACAGCAACCTCAAACTCTAGGGCTTAAACAATTCTCTTGCCTCTGCCTCCCAAGTAGCTGGGACTACAGGTGCCTGCCACAATGCCCAGCTATTTTTTTGAGATGAGGTCTTGCTCTTGCTCAGGCTGGTCTTGAACCTGAGCTCAGGCAATCCAACCGTCTTGGCCTCCCAAGTGCTGGGATTACAGGTGTGAGCCACAGCGCCCGGCTTGATTTCAATTCTTTTGGATAAACATTCAGAAGTAGTATTGCTTATTTTCCATAGTGTCTGCACCATTCTACATTCCCATTGATGGTGTACAAAGGCTCCAATTTCTCCAAATCCTTGCCAATAATTGTTTTTGTATTACATCATTCTAACAGGTGTTGATACCTCATCACTGTTTTAATCTGCATTTCCTGGATTAGTGTTGAGCATCTTTTCATATACTGTTGGCCATCTGGTATGTCTTCTTTGGGCAAATTTCTTTTCAAATCTTTTTCTTATTTTTTAACTGGGTTACTTATTCTTCTGCTTTTGTGTTGTAGGAGTTCCTCACATATGTATTGAATATTAACTATCAGAGATATGGGCTGTATTTCCTCCCATTCTGCAGGTGGCCTTTTCACTTTGTTAACGGTTTCCTTTGCTATGCATTAGTTTTTTAGTTTGATGTCTACAGGCTCATCTTATAATTCCCCTGATTCAGACCTGGACTTGGTACTATCTCCAAGAAGCCATGTTTCCTTTATTGAACAATGGTCTAAAAGAAACTGAGATCTAGGCACTAGATGTTCTATTTGCTATTGGGGCTTCTAATCTTTTTTCATATGCATTTTTTTCCTGTCATAATAACTAGCTAGATTCTTGCAATTTGAATTTTGTATTTTTTTACTTTTACTTTTTTCCTCATTAACATTGGAAAACTTAATAGTTGTATAATACTCCCTTGCCTGGAATAAACTTTTCTATATACTAAAAATAGCTTTTCATATTTAGGATTAAAAGCATAATTATTTGGTGAGATGCTACTGAAATTTAATGATCCTTGGTATAGACTGCAAAACTGCTCTCCAAAAGGACAGTCCCAAATCACAATACAGGAGAGATTCATTTTATTTCACTTATACTGGGTACTATTATCAAGTTTTAATTTTGCTATTTAAGAATATAAGCATTTCTTAGCAGTCTTATCTCCTGCCAACAAGTACAAGATACAAATACCTTTGTAGAATGACTAGAGTGTACTAAGGGCTTTCACTGCCACTTAATCTACATTCTGTGAGAGGCCATTATTTCTGTGAGTTAAGCACTTAAAAAGTTCAGAAAGGTAACTTGTTCAGTCATATGTCTACTACGTGCAGTGTAATGCTTAAAAGAAGAATGGACTCTGGCAACAGATATGTCCTGTTTCCACCCCAAACCAGCTGTGTAACTGTCGGGAATTTTTTTTCAACTCTCCACCTCAATTTCTTCATGTGTAAAATAGGGATAACATTTGGATTCAAGCAGCGAAGACAGAAAAAAATAAAGAAAACCATAAATTAAAAATACCTGTACCAGTATCTACTTCATAAAGCTACTGTTAATATTGAATGAAATAGTACATGTACTATATACCTGCCACATAACAAATGATACCTAAATGTTTGTTGCTGTTATCAGTATTAAGATGGGAGCAAACAGTGCTTTTAAAGAAACGAAATGTTATTGCACGTCTAGACCAACTATGTGATAGGTGTTTTTTACAGGTTCTCTCATTTAATTTTCCCAATTCTCTGACACAGAATTTTATACCTATTTGTGCTTATTTTACGGCTAAGGATAAGACGCTCAGAGAAGTACCTGTCGTCACTACAACAGAGAGGCAGAACTAATTCGAACCTGAATCTGCAGGTGACTGTGCTTACTACAACGATGGAGAGGTTAAGTCACTCCACACAGCGGAGACGGCGGAGACCCTACCCGGGTCTGGCCCCTCAGCCAGCGCTCTAGACAACTACGACCATGTACACAGATTACACATGTACCGACTGCGCGGCTGGGTCAGGCTGGGGAGTCGGGGCGCCGCCGCTTCCCGGTCCCAGCTTGTCTTTGTTTTATTTTGTTTTTCCAAGCCGACTTTTGCAAGTCCCCCAGCCCGAAAACCCCCTCAGTTCCTCTCCACCCCCAGAGTGGAATCCTCGGGTCCGCAGCCCTCACCTGGCCTGGTCGACATCCGGACCTGACCATCTCTCGCAGTTTCAGAGAAGCCCAAACCCAGGGAAGATTCGCTGCACAATAATAAGAATCAACCGCCTTGGGCTCTTGGGGCTTCTTGGCCCGCCCCCCGGGCTTCCGCTTCCGGAAAGAAGCCCGCCGAACATCGCGCTTCATGGTCTACGACCCGCCTCCCCAGCCTTTCTCCTAATCCAGGCCCCGCGCCCCGGGCGTGCGCAACAGATCTTCTCCCCGCCGCCGGGCTCGTCACACTTGGCCGAGGGTGAGAGAAGCCAACAGAAGGCGAGCGGTGCGGGGGCGGGGCCTGGTCCGCTGGGGGTGGGGCATGGCCTGCGGGGGCGGAGTGGAATGAGGGGCGGGGCGGGGCGGGGCGGGGTGGGCGAGCAGCACAGGGGCTAACCTGGGCGGAGGCGGGGCCTGAACACCTGAGAGTAGAGTTCACGGTCCTGTTTCCAGATTTGCAGCGGACCACCGATCAGCGCCCTCCATCAGCTGGGGGAAAACGGGGCAAGGACCTGCCAGAGCCAGAAGAAGGAACCAGGGTAAGGGACTGATAGGTTTTAGAGGGAATTGCGCATGATTATTGGGTTTTCACTGTTTATTTTTAGTTTGGCATCTTGAGTGCCTTTTTGAATGATTTTGCTTTCGATATTCAATAAAAATCAAACCTTGGGGATTGTTATGTTTGCGTAATTCTGACGGCAATTTCAACATTATTCATTGTGGCAACTGATCTCAGAATGGTGCTCATTAGTTGGGATTTTAGTTTTACTTCTCTGCATAGTTGTTCTACTCTTCTGTTGAGGTAATTATTGTTGATAAAGAGTGACACAGCGTTCTTAACCCTCGGCATGCTGCACTGATTTAATGGGGATTAGCCATTAGTTTTTAAGGCATTGAGGGTTTTTAAAAAATAATTTTCCGATATTTTATTAGGCAATTTTTTAAACATACAGTACAGTTGAAAAAATTATACAGTCATCACCCATACTCCCCTCTTCTTCGAATATAGGGAATTTGTTCCTAGGGAGGCTACGGTTTTGTGCACCTCATCACAATGATCCCAGATTCCTGTTGGGTATGTTATAAGGAGGAGCGATTCTTCAGGCCCCTTGCTTTGAGCACACCCCCAGGCATTGAGCTTTGGGTTAAAGTTTTAAATCAAGTTTTCCCATTTTTTTTAATGGGAAAAGTAGCTACCCTTTAAAAGTCAATTACAATTAATATCAAAGCCCAGGAACAAAAATATGTCCACTAATGTATTGCACATTTATTCTGAGTTTAGGAAACCAAATATTTCATAAATTTATTTTTGAATTAGATCAGACTATAAAAACCTCTTCTATCCTTTACCATAACTCCCATAAGTTTTTAACATGCCCACCAGAGATTCTAGGCTTTTTTTTAGTTAACTTCATTTTTTAAAACTTGTATTGATTTGTCTTAATTAATACATGTATATTTTAGAATATAAAAAGGAAAAGATCACCTATAATCTCATTACCCAAAGATTACCACTATTGACAGTAAGGATCAAACTCTGACTTTTTTTGTCTTGCCCAAATTCTTTTCTAAGAGGCCAGGCGGAGTCACACCTACAAATGATAAAATCTCATTAAATGAGTTTTGTTTATGTTTTTGTTTTTTTGTTTTTTGTTTTTTTCTGAGACAGAGTCTCAAGCTGTCGACCTGGGTAGAGTGCCATGGCATCCCAGCTCACAGCAACCTCCAACTCTCGGGCTTAAGCGATTCTCTTGCCTCAGCCTCCCAAGTAGCTGGGACTATAGGCACCCACCACAACACCCGGATATTTTTTTTGGGTGTAGTTTTCACAGTTGTTTGGTGGCCCAGGCTGGATTTGAACTTGTCAGCTCCGGTGTATGTGGCCGGTGCCCTAGCCATTAAATAAGTTTTTATTAACCCAGTATAATGTGGATTACTTTCCAACCTGATTCCAGTATAGCATCACAAGGCAGATAGAAGACTCCCTTAACTCAACTGTTAGGTCCCCGTGTTCCCTTTGGTTCCAAGTACCAAAGAATGATTACTGATACCAAGTTGATTAAGTAAATGAGCAGACCAAGCAGGTGCAAGGAGGCAAAGTGCCAAAGTTTATTAAAACGTAGAATGTTCATAAGAAGGAACAGGTCTAGCCAGTGAGTAGAGCTTAAAGACAGAATATAGAAAGGAGAGTACACTGTCAAAATTGGTAGAGTAGACTGCTCCAATAAGGAACAGCAACTCCCCAGGTCTGTCCTTTTATGCTAATCCCTAATAATATGCTAAGCTGGGGTGGAATATTCATGAATTTTCTGGGAAAGGGATGGAGAGTTCCCGGAATGGCAAGTCTTCTTCTTTTCTATCTTTGTAAGGCAATTTTCAGGGGTTACCATGGAATTTGCAAACTGCCATAGTGCAGGTGCATGTGATTTTAACTATGTTAATGAGGGAGGTTCATTTAAGGACACTATTACTTAAACTGTGCCCATGCTCCAAAGACCCTCTTTTGTAGCCTTGATCATATCTCTCCTTATGGTCTTTCTACCTTTTTCTGGTTGGTCAGTCCTTGGAGACCCCCTGTTGTAGACCAAACATCTATTTGGTCAATCCTTGGGGAGCTTGATAGGTCATCTGTTCTTCCCCTTCTGGCCAATTTGTTCCTCCTATTGTAGACAAAGCATCTCCTAGTGCCATCTACTCCTCTCTCTCCTTATTCCTACCAGACACTAGCAGAGCCCCCCGCCTTTTTTTCATTTTGCAGTTTTTGGCCAGGGCTGGGCTTGAACCTGCCACCTCTGGCATATGGGGCCGGCACCCACCTTTTTGAGCCACAGGCACCGCCCGCAGACCCCCTTTCTTAAGCAAGCATTCCTTTCTACTGACACTAGGTCTTCAGACAAAGCTTAACTACTTCAAACAATTGCCAACTAAAGAATCACTAAAACCCACCTAGGACTTATAAACTCCCCTTTCCAGATGTCCCACCTATTCTGGCCAAACCAATGTATATACGCTTTCCGTGTATTAATGTATGGTTTTATCTCTAATTACTACCTCCATGAATGTATAAAATCAAACTGTAACTGGGTCGCCTTGGGTGTGTTCTCTCAAGAACTCTTGAGACCATGTTCTCTGGGCTGCAGTCAACCATATGTAGCTCAGAATAAACTTCTTTAAATATTATTATTTTTTTTAATTTTTGAGACAGAGCCTCACGATGTTGCCCTCAGTAGAGTGCCATGGTGTCACAGCTCACAGCAACCTTAAACTCTTAGGCTTAAGCAATTCTCTTTCCTCAGCCTCCCTTGTAGCTGGGACTAAGGCTCCTGCCACAACACTTGGCTATTTTGTTTGTTTGTTTGTTTGTTTGTTTGTTTAGCAGGCTAGGGCAGGGTTTGAACCCACCAGCCCTGGTGCTTATGGCTGGCACCCTAACCACTGAACTATGGGCACCATGCCAACTTCTTTAAATTATTTTAGAGAATTTGGAGTGTTTTCTGCTTAATGCATTCCCTTGTAGACTTTTATTCCCCTGTGTACATGTGTACAATATATTACAATAATATGATGTGGTACATATTACTGTAACTTAATATCTCATCAACAGGCTCGGTGCCTGTAGCTCAGCAGCTGGGCGCCAGCCACATACGCTGGAGCTGGTGAGTTCAAATCCAGTCCAGGCCCACCAAACCACAATAACAACTATAACCAAAAAATAGCCAGGCATTGTGATGGGTGTCTGTAGTCCCAGCTACTTGAGAGGCTGAGGCAAGAGAATCGCTTAAGCCCAAGAGTTGAAGGTTGCTGTGATCTATGACACCTCGGCACTCTACCCAGGGCTATAGCTTGATACTCAGTCTCAAAAAAAAAAAAACTCATCAACACTGTTTCTTATTAATATACAATTATAAAATGGCTTCCTGGTATTCCATTATTCATTTTCTTATTATTTGGAATGTTATATCCCCCCTTTGTGATCAGTTATTTGCTATTATAAATAATACTACAGTGAGCTGAAATCTGAAATGGACTGGATGGAGGGCAGAGAAGAGTATTCTGAGCATGTGGAGACAGCATGATGGTGAGTAAGAGGGACTTGGAAAGGCTCTTGTGGCTGAAGTATAGATGGAAGGGGCCAGGTAGAAATGTAGATAGGGGCCAGACTGTGCAGGCCTCCTAGGCCACATGAAGGATTTGAATTATTATCCTAAGGGCAGTGGGAATGTGTCAAAGTTCAAACAGGAGTGAGGTGAACTGACTGGTGTTTCAAAAAGCTCAGTAGGCCAGGTGCAGTGCCTCATGCCTGTAATCCCAGCACTTGGGAAGCCAAGAAAGGTGGATTGCCTGAGTTTGTGAGTTTGAGACCAGTCTGAACAAGAGCTAGACCCAGTCTCTAAAAGAAAAATAGCAAGGCCTGTAGTCCCAGCTACTCAGGAGGCCGAGGCAAGAGAATTGCTTAACCCCAAGAGTTTGAGGTTGCTGTGAGCTATGATGCTACAGCACTCTACCAAGGGTAACAAAGTGAGACTGTCACCAAAAAAAAGAAGAAGCTCACTGGCTGCAGAATAGAACAGAAGTCTGCAATCTACAGCTGCCAGCCAAATCCAGTCTGCCATTCTTTGGTACAGCCTGAGAGGGATTTTTACATTTTCAAATAGTTTTTGTAAATTAAAAGAATATTTTGTGAAATCTCAGTGTTATAAATAAAATTGTATTGAAACACAAAATCACACTTATGCGTTTATGTATTTTCTGTGCTGCAGCTACAGAGTTCGGTAGTTGTAATCGAGACCCCATGGTCCGCAAAGCCTAAAATATTTACTCTCTGGACCTTTACAGAAAAGTTTGTTGTCCCCTGGTATAGAAAGGGTTTTGGAGAAAGTATGTGGGTAAGTTCTTCTCCATCAATCCATTCTCTGCCCTTCTCCAAGCTCCAGAGACTGACCCCTAAGAATGACATCACTCAGACTTCTCTTTCAGCCTCAGGTTCTGTTTAGTCAATAGAAGAGGGAAGGACTAGGAAACTCCTTCTGTATCAGCGCCTCTGACTGACACAGTGGCCAACAGCTCCCCAGGGAACTCCTGGAGCTCCAATCAACATTTCCTCCCCGTGTCCCTTCAGTCTCAGGGATAAAAGTGATTTGCTACTCTCTGAGTGCCTCAAGGCCCTTTGTTGGTTTCCTCGTCCACATCTCTGTAAACCTTCTTTTAATTATTTCCAAAATCTTGGCTGAGTGTCTTCTCTTTCTTGCCAGAATCAGACTGATAGGAAATCCAGATGAAATATGTTGGTAGCTGAGAGGCAATGCGTGAACATGGAGGTGAGGGAGTAAGGGAAGATAAAAAGACAGGTTTGCGGGAGACATTGGAGGTGAGATGGACTGGACATGGTGATAGATTTGAAAGTAAGTCATGGGGGAAGTATTTACACTGACCTGGTTTCTCAGTTTTTCTACCTGGAGGGATGGTGGGAGAGACACGTTTGGGAGCAAAATTTATGAACTCATTTACCACTACCTCCCACCCCACATTTTATTATAGAAAATATAAACTAGGAAGTCATTTTGGGGCATGTTAATTAGAAGTTACCTTTGAGTCACCCCAAAGAAGGTGAAGTCACCCCAGAATCAAGGCAGCTACTGAGTAGTTGAATTTGGAGCTTTGCAAAGAAGTGTGAGCTGCAGATGCACATTTCTGAGTTATCTGTAGTAACCAACACCACAGGCATCTGAGTTTGCTCGCTTTTATTCCCTCTTAAAAGTCTTTCCTTCTATCTTCCTCCTGCAAACTAAGTATGTGACCCTGTACTATAATGCATTTGCATCATTTCTCACGTTTCTCTCATGTGATTAGTTATGTCTGTCTTCCTGAGTAGAATTTCTATGAAAATAAAGACCTTGTCTTATTCTGAGCAGTACCCCCAATGCCCAACACAATGACTTGCACATATTAGAAATTTTTAATTATTTCTTTCAGTAGATGAATGAATCAACTGCTGGACTGCTTTGGTGCATTGGGGCTGACAGCTACTTGAATGCCTGAAACTTGGGATTATCTAGCCTGATCTGGAGATTTAATCCTTTTAGTTTCATGGGTACTCCACTCTGCTTGGTTACTCAAGTCCAACACCTCTATGTTGCCAGGATTCAGAATATTGGACCAATGACTCACCAATTGGTCACTGCCTAAGTATGAAAGTCTCTGTTCATGTTTAACTATGTTCCAGTTTAGCAAAAACAATCAAAGTTCAAGTATGTGAAGATCTAAAATAAAAACATAGATTTATAGCCAAGATGTAAGAATCAAAAAGTAAGCGGCTGTGGATAACAAGTCATGTATTGGGAGCATGAGGTCAGTTCTGTTAGAAAGCTCTGAGGGACTGCCCTGTTGCCTTTCCTCAAGCTGCTTGGTGCTTTCTAGAGCACTTTTGAGCCCAAGTGTTCTTGGCCTTTTGAGAGCTACAATTTTGAGAAATTGCTAAAAGCTTTGTAGTTTTCTCCTCAGAAAAAGTGCTAATGAGCACATTTCTAAAACATATTTATATACATATATAATGTTATCAGAGGAATTCAGGAGCCTTTTCAAAGAGTTCAGGTTAAGACTCTGATTCTAATCTAATTCAGAACCAGCCCTCCACACTGGAGTGCCCAGCTCCTTCTGTGGCAGGGCCCTGGTGATTGGGAAAGTTGTTGGTTAACTAGAGATGGTGGGTTCCTGATTGAACAGCATCAAGAAGAGAAGGGCACAGAACATGGAGAAAATGGAATTGAGCCATGATTTTTGCATTTCTCGTTGAAGCTTTAAATGAATCCGCATTCTTCACTTTAATCTAAATAGCTTAATTTAGGAAAGAACCCACATTTTTTTCTTTATAAAAATCTTGATTTTATTGCTTCCTGAATCTTTTTAAAAAGAGAAATGCAAACCATATGTTAGAAGGGCCTCAGTTTGACAGCTTAACTGGGGTCATGCCAGGATTCAGATGTTGCTGATCATGACAGGAAAGCCAGTGTGATAAGGTCTGACAAGGGTCTGTTGGCAGAAAGGATCAAGAGAACCCCTTTGGAATGATCTCATTGTAAGGAAAAAACGGTTGGGGACAATGTGCCAGGTTTGTGGATCGGGTATGAATTTTAATGTAGCACAATGACCGTCACTTATCATCCTTCAGCCTCCATGGACTTGTACCTGATCCAAGGAGAGAAATAATAACAGTGGTGATTAAAATGTTAAAAAATAGTTTTATTAAATATCTTCAAGGCCTTGTAGCAGATGCCAGTGGCTGCTTATTGTGAATACTTGTGACTTCTCGCCTAAGGGCCTTTTTTTCTGGAGTGAAAGGAGCCAGCCCAGCTTAACTCCAGATGTAGTAAATGAATGCCCCTTGTAGCAGCCCCTGGTCAATGACAGACTGAGACTTAGTGACGAAGTAGCCTTTAGCCTGTGCTGGATAAAGAGAGTCTTCACCCGTCAGGTTGGATAACTGAGACAGGTTCTCCACTGTTTCCCAGAGTTCTACAGCATAGTTGGGGGACTGGGTAACTGGATAACACACACTTTTTAGCTTTCTTCCTGTCACTCTTACTGTCTTTACTCCCTTTCCATTGGCCCTGGGATCGCCTCCCACATAAATTTGTGCTTAAATTCCTATCTCAGGGATTGTTTCTGGGATGAAAATACCCGCAGGTAGAGAGGCACTGTACCCATATGCAAAGCAGCATGGGTTTATCATGTGGCCAACCTGAATTCAAATTCTTTCTCTCCAGTGACCTTGAACAACTTAATTTCTTTAAGATTGTTTCTTCAGGCTCGGCGCCTGTGGCTCAGGCGGCTAAGGCGCCAGCCACATACACCTAAGGTGGCGGGTTCAAATCCCCAGCCTGGGCCCACCAAAAAACAATGATGGCTGCAACCAAAAAAGTGGCCGGGCATTGTGGTGGGCACCTGTAGTCCCAGCTACTTGGGAGGCTGAGGCAGGAGACTCGCTTTAGCCCAGGAGTTGGAGGTTGCTGTGAGCTGTGATGCCATGGCACTCTACCCAGGGGGATAGCTTGAGGCTCTGTCTCAAAAAAAAAAAAGATTGTTTCTTCAGGTGGATGCAATGACTCAACGCCTGTAATCCTAGCACACTGGGAGGCCAAGGCAGTGGATCCCTTAAGCTCAGGAGTTCAAGACAAGCCTGAGCAAGAATGAGACTTCATCTCTAAAAATAGCCAGGTGTTGTGGGGCGCGCCTGTAATCCCAGCTACTTAGGAGGCTGAGGCAAGAGAATTACTTGAGCCCAAGAGTTTGAAGTTACTGTGAGCTATGATGCCATGGCATTCTACCAAGGGCGACATAGGACAAAGTGAGATTCTGTCTCAAAAAAAAAAAAAAATTTGTTTCTTCATCTATAAAATGGGGATAATGGGCTGAGTTCATGAGGTCAGATTATAAAGAAAAATTTGAGAATGTGTTAAGTGTTGCACACAGTGGCTTGCATATAGTTACATGTTTAGCAAGTGTTGACTATTATCCTTTATACAGTATTTATAAGGTTGCTACATCACAGCCCAGGTGGAGAGCAAAGCTGTTTTCCACCCTCTGTGAGGGACTGCTGAAGCAGAGAGACTTGGCTGATGTGCTATGGAGGCTGTGTCTCTGGTGAGCAGCTGCAGCTTAGCAACATGGACAGCTTGAAGCAAGCATTGCCTTAGTGAGCCAGAGCAAAAGAGGAGAAAGATGGTGGACACCAAGTGGCAGCTCAGCAGATGAGAACTTGGCAATATGATAATGGTATCAGCAATTGTGCTTAGCCATCAGTAAGCACAAAAGGCTATAGTACCATCAATAACTTCATTTGTGTCCAATATACACTTCATTGAATGAAATTTCATGAGCTTCACTCTTATGGGTTTGTAAAGGCTACTGAGATTTAAATTTTTTTTTTCTTTTTTGAGACAGTCTCACTTTGTCACCCCTTCGTAGAGTTCTGTGGCGTCATAGCTCACAGCAACCTCAAACTCCTGGGCATAAGTGATTCTCTTGCCTCAGCCTTCCAAGTAGCTGGGACTACAGGCACCCACCTGGCTATTTTTAGAGATCAGGTCTCTAAACGCCTGGCAAGAACACCTGGCTATTTTTAGAGATCAGGTCTCACTCTGGCTCAGGCTGGTCTCAAACCTGTGAGCTCAGGCAATCCACATGCCTTGGCCTTCACGTGCTGGGATTACATGCATGAGCCACCATGCCCAGCCCTAATTTCTAATTTCTATCTCTTTTCCCCAAAGAAGAAAGGACCCTTTTGCTTTTGTTATCATTATGAACTTAATTTGTTATTTTAGAGTTTTTTCAAATTGGGGCTGCCCCTTATAGCCCCCTTCACTCCCCATTTCCAGGCCTGACCATATTTCAATTCTTTGGCCACCATGAAAGAGAGACTGAGAGACACCAAGAAAGTGAGGGAAGCTTCACTTATTCTCTGATCCTGATGAATTACAAACCCAGGTTCTACCTGCTTCAGCCTTTTCAAGCAGTGGATAGAAAGATGGGCCACTTCAGCTAAGATGGCAGACAGCAAACAGGATTTGTGATTGCCCACTCGGCAGGGGCAGCCCAGTGATGGGGGAAAAATTTGTTTCAGCCCCTTTTGTTTCACTCTAGGCCAGTGGTTCTCAACCTTCCAAATGCCAGAATCCTTTAATACAGTTCATGTTGTGGTGACCCCCAACCATAAAATTATTTTCATTGTAACAAAACTAATTGCAACTATGGTAGTTCTTCACTTGGAACTGTATTAAAGGTAGTGGCATCAGGAAGATTGAGAACCACTGCTTTAGGCAGAAATCAAGGGCCCAGGGTGATATCCAATGACAATCTCCTTTTACCTTTAGACACAAAGACAAATTTCTTCCCAATTGATGTTATGAACGTAAGCTACCATGATTTTTTAACAGAAGCAACTTTTAAGAAGGGATAGCATTGTAAATAGAAGGGACTGACCCAGTGACCTTGGTGCACCTGGCATTCAGAATAATAATCACAGCCTGTTAATCTTATCTGCTTCCTTCCAGAAAGAAAAGTCTTTGAAGGTCTTCAGCTCATGCAGAGGATTTTCCCCAAAGGGTTCCATTACATCTGTATATGGTTTCAGAAAAATCTATTGATGTTGACACTTTCTGTAACATTCTATTAGTTCTTCTCAAAGCCGCTTGCACTAAAATAATTTATGTTCATGTCTTAGTGTTAAATTGTGAACTCCTTGAGGGCAGATTTCAGGTATGATTTATTTGTATATGCCCAGAAGCCAGCATATTTCTTGGCTAATGTTGCCAGGTTTAGCAAGAAATAAAACACATTTGTTGTTTATCTGAAATTTAGATTTAACTGGGTGTCCTGTCTTTTATTCCTGGCACATAGCTCATCTCAATAAATGTTGGAGAATAAGTGAATGAATGAATGACTGCCATAGTACGAACAAATGGAGAATAAACTGGTAAAAAGTTAAACTGACTGGGTAAATTCTGCCTAACAATTACAAAACATCAAAACTGTGTCTGGTTAACATTCTCCCTTTAAAATGTGACAGTCTAGATTTGCCTTGAGCTGCATTTTTCTTTCCACGCTTCGTCAGCTGCTTTTACTCAGTGTCCACATGAGAAGAATACTAATCTCCCAGTAATGAAAGTGTCTCTTCCAACAATTTCACAACTCAATTCCACACATTTCTGATTTCATGTGTGCTTAATTGTTTATTAGCGTGTACCAGTTGTACAAGAAAATTGGCCTTGGATGGTGTATGGGGTTCGGTCATTTTGAAGTCCAATCATCTCTGTATCTTCCTTTAAAATTGCCAAAATTGTGCTTTTACTCCAGCCGAACCCTGGGGTTTTGGGTAAAGTCATTCACCTTGATTAAACCATCAGGACCAATTCTGTTTGGAAAAACGTATACCTGGGGTTAGTTCAGTTAACAATTAATTCTAAGAAAGACAATCTATAAACTAGTCTCTCACTCTCCAGATGAATTCTGCTGCTGCGGTGCTGCCCACCTTCTTTTTCTCTTAACTGCCTGCTCCTCCTCCTCCTTCTCCTCCTGCTCCTCCATTTCCACTCCATGGCAACGTCTACTTCTGTAGTAACCTCACTATATCTTGACCTGCTAGATATGTCTTCCTAGTATTCTTATACCCCCAGTTGGTAGCCGTGTACTTACACTTCCTGTTCAATGTAGTTTAGCATTCTGCTGACATGTGATGCAGAGATCTCCCCATCCACTTCGGCAATATATGTGTAGAGAAACTGGAAGGTGCTGAAAGGGATCCGGGGAGTTCCACCATCATGGTCAGATGATAAAACCTCACACACTATCTTTAGAGTTTTGGCAATTGTCTATAAAACAGTAAGATAAAATGAGGGGAAAGTCACTCTTCCAAGCTAGATTCTTAAGATCCGTTTAGATGCAAGAAGGAAAACAAAAAGACTGCTCTCCTAAAATAAAGTGGGCATGAGTTAAGATTCTAGAAGGCTTGAAAATTCTACATCAAACGTCATTTATTTCATTCTAAAAATAGTGGTATCTATTGGGGATCTTTATTTTTTCTTTCCTTTCTTTGTTGGAGGGCTACTCTCAAGGAATTAAGTCTATAAACTCCTGAATACTACAAGGTGTTTGTTATGTTAATCACAATAAAGGAGGGAAATTGATTTTACATTCTACAAAATTAGAATTATTTCTTCTTATAATTATCCAATCTTATCTCTCAATGGGTTGAGGTAAGTAGCCCAGCCTCTATACTTCTCCAAGATACTTGCAGCAATGCCATAGCAGGGGAAAAGACGGTAAGAGAAGGGTAATATTCCGAGGGAGGAAAGAGTCCCAGATGTTGGGAAAATGGTACTAAACGTAAAGGTAAAACCCATTCTTCTAAAACATGCGGCTCCATCTAAGAAGGACCAGCCAGTACTAATACTAAAACTGCGTTATTGCTTAGGGAAAAATCATTGGAGGATAAGTGCCAGGAGTTTTAATAGAAGGTTACTGTAGAAACACTCCTTGCAATGAAAGGAGTATGTAAATGAACAGTAAAAGATCATGCTCAGAACTGATCCTATCTCTAAATAAACCTACCTTTTAAGTAAATTTCACAAAGGAGAGAGTTGTGAAATGCAGGGCAGCATTACTGGTGCTCATGATGTACAGATCATCCTCCTATACCCTCCAGGGATCAGTGAAAGATCAGTCCTGAGGGGTGACTAGGTCGTGAAAGATCCATCATGGGCAAGCAGCTGCCCCATCTCCCCACGTGGCTGGAGACTTCCTGGGCAGTTGATGTTTATTGTTCTGCTCTCATCCTGTCCCTGAATTGAATGAATGTCTAGATGGTGCTTCTTAACCATACTGTGTTACCCAGGCGTGTAAGTCTGTATGGCAGAAGGTATATACTATAAGGTTGTGAATAAACTGAGCCTTGCTTCTAGGAGTGACTAGTGTTACTTGATGGCAAGTAATTTGAACATTATCTACACTATTATTAATTGAGTTAATATTTAAATTTTATATACCTATATTTAACAAACTATTATTTTGTGAAATAGAATGTACAATAATTTTAAAATGACAAATTATATGATGTCAAAGAAATTTGGAGTTTGCACCTTCATTGACTCTTCCCTGCCCTGGGGGTCCGCTCGTGGAAAGCTGTTGTGAAGCACTACATCTTCCAGGTGCTCCTACTTAAATCAGAGGAGGATGGGCACATGAGGCTGGGAGCCAGGGCAGTGAGGTGTGCTTGTGAAATGAGGTCATCATGACAATGGGATAGGTTTGCAAGCACACACTGAGCGTCATCCTTCCCATACAGAGCTCATCCTCTGTGCTTCTCTAAAACAAAAAAATCCCCTGTACCCCTACTGCCTTTGTTGTGTTGCCCTCTCCCTGGGGGTGCTGTTATGGGCTGAATTGTTCCCCCTAAAATTCATATATGGAATCCCTAACCCCCAGAACCTGAGAATGTGATTATATTTGAAGACAAGTCATTCAAAGTCATTAGGGTGGGCCCTAATTTAATCTGACTGGTATCTTTATAAGAAGAGGAGATTAGTTTGCAGAGAGACAAACACCAAACATATGGGGCACAGAGGGACACACATAGAAAATGCCATGTATAAGGCAATGACAAAAGTCTCAGAAGAAACCAACCTGCCAACACCTTGATCTTGGACTTCTGGCTTCCAAAAGTGTGAGACAATACATTTTCATTGTGTAAGTCACCCAGTCTATGATAGTTTATTATGTCAGCCCTGGAAAACTAATAATATAGGTGCTTTTAGCCCTAAATGCCATCTTCAAACAATAAACTTTCAAGTCCCATTGCCCTCATAAGACTTTTAAATATTTTCTAAGGTTTAATAAATGGATGAATGGATAAAGAGCTCTTTGGTCTGGAGCTTTTTGGTAAACACATAAGTCTAAAGTAAACAGATCTTCATTCTCTTGCATGAGAATTTTTGGTCAGATGGGTATCTAATTCAGAGAGGTAGGCTATAAGCATCTTATGAGTCTCATTTTCACAGGCAGAAGTTAAAAGCTTAAAAACAAATTGTTTGCTAACAAAATATGTCATTTCTTCCAGTGAACATGATTATTTACTGCATACATCATCTCTTATGATTAGTGTCAGTGGCACAGGAGAGGCCATAGAGGAAGGAGTGCTGAAAGAGAAGAGGAATACAGGTCTGTATGCCATGGAATTTTTTTTTTCTGAGACAGAGTCTTGCTATGTCACCCAGGTTAGGGTGCAGCGGTGTGATCATAGCTCAAGCAACCTCAAACTCCTGAGCTCAAGGAATCCTCCTGCCTCAGTCTCCTGAGTAGCTGGGACTACAGACACACACCACTATGCCTGGCCCACCATAGCATTTTGAATCATATATTATATAAAAACAGCTTGAGAATGGATTAAATGTACCTATTAAATATTGGAGTAGAAATTCCCACTATTAGCTTCTTCTACGAGGACCAAATAGGCTTTTTTATATGGCACAGAGATCATGTCTTATAGTCGAATTAGCAAAGGAAGAAGAGAATTCCTGGGCTTGCCTCTAATATGGATTAACTAGGATCCAAGATCTCCACATATGGTGACCCTGACTGTCTTAGTCTGTTCGGACTGCTGTAATAAAATACCTTTGACTGGCTCGGCGCCTGTGGCTCAAGCGGCTAAGGCGCCAGCCACATACACCTAAGGTGGCGGGTTCGAATTCCCAGCCCAGGCCCGCCAAACAACAATGATGGCTGCAACCAAAAAAAAAAAATGGCCAGGCGTTGTGGTGGGCGCCTGTGGTCCCAGCTACTTGGGAGGCTGAGGCAGGAGACTCGCTTGAGCCCAGGAGTTGGAGGTTGCTGTGAGCGTGATGCCATGGCACTCTACCCAGGGGGATAGCTTGAGGCTCCGTCTCAAAAAAAAAAAAAAAATACCTTTGACTGGGTAATTTATAAACAATGGAAATTTGTTGCTTACAGTTCTGAAAGCTGGAAAGTCCAAGATAAAGGTGCCAGCAGATTTAGTGTTTGGTGAGTGTCTGTTCCTCACTTTCTATGTGGATCGTACCTTCTACATGTCCTTACATGGTAGAAGGGGCAAACAGGCTCTCTCAAGCCTCTTTTATAAAGGTACTAATCCCATTTATGAGGGCTCCACCATTATGACTAATCTTCACCCAAAGCCCCCCCCTCTTTAGTACCATCACTTAGGAAGTCAAGATTTCAACATATGAATGGGGGGGGGGTATGGGAATGAACATTCAGATCATAGCACTGGCCAGTTCCAGTTTTAAGATCCCAGAAACAGTCCAACATGAAACAAATGAGTCTAGGGTATTGGTCCTGGGGTTCACAGGACACCCTTTATTCACAGACTCAACTTCCAGGCTGACTTTACCTCTAGATGTTCTTTTACACAGGGATGACAAGGGGCAAAGTAGGTATCTCAGGACTTCTCAGAATTGGGGAGCTCACGCATTACCTAAAGGTAGGCCTAAGCATGTCTCAGTTGAAGCAGAGAAGCAGGAATGGAATCATAGAATATTAGGGGTGAAAGAAACCCCTGGAACATTTAATCCACCTTCCTTGTTTTATAGGGGCAATAGAAATAGAGGAAGGCATATCAGAAGAAACTTTGCAGCTACATGCTGGGCTAAGCAGAAGGAGGGTTGGGGTTTGGATTTCCAAAGTCATTTTTGGTTACTGTGAAGTATGGGGGCAAGGGAAGGACAATCAGACATCTCATCTCACACAGTGGCGAGTGAAATAGACCACCAAAGCCAGGAGCAGATGAGGACAATCCAGCAGAGATTCATGGAGGCCCTCAGCAGTACTGAGAAGTGAGGTGGGCCAGATCCAGTTGTCCAGCTTTGACCAATCCAAGGGAGAAAACCAAAGACTTCAGCTGTAAGCAGCTGGAGACCAGACAGATAGGAGCATTGCCATGGAGACCACAGGTCCCAGAGAGGACCAAGGAATGTGGGAAACTCTTCACTTGGCTGCTCTGAGATCCTAGAGTGAACCCTTTCCCTGTACATTCAACTGCTATCTTGGAGAAGATAGTGTGGTGAGACTGGGAAATTTACCTTTAGGCTGTTTTGGTTACTGCATCAGACTGAAATTTCTGAATAGGATTGAATTTATTTTCTTTCTCTCCACTCTGTGGGTGGAGTGATTCAAGATCAAAATTAACTATAGAGAAAAATAAAGAGGCATCTTTCCCCCAACATTTCTGAATGTAATATGAATAAATTTGTAACCCTCTGAGAATTTAATGTGTCATTTTTTAGTTTTCCTTTTTTTGTGATTTCCCCCAATCCTGAGTCTTGATTGACAACTCACTGTCCTCCTGCACTTTCCTCTCCTCTTTGGAAGATAGTTATTTTATTCATTATATAAATGCTACAAAGGACAATGACGAGAAAAACCAACACCAATGGCCTCCCCTTTCCTTCTGTCTAAAGAAATGATTATGATGAAGGCTGTAGGGGAAACCGATAGGAAAAGCTGGGCTACAATATTTCTGCTAAATTTTTTCAGAAACAAAAATGTCAAGTATGTATTCCAAGCATATTTAAGAAGAAAGAACAAGATTGTGTTTAGATATTTGAATGATTCAAACTACTTTTTCATACCATTTTGTTTTGGCAGAGGCAAAAAATTTCTCATTACTTCTTAAACTTTTATATATTTCAAATGTATATTTATACATTTCAATTTGTTAAAATCATGCCTTTGGTTTATTTTCATTTAAGTTATTGTAAGTGTTTAACAAAAGTGAGTCCACATATGATACCTAAGCTTTAAATATATATGCAGACATATAAACTGGTCTCAGCATCTTTTTCTTTAAAACAAGAAAATGGCTTTTCTAATTTCAAACAAGTCAAATTTGGAAAAGACATAAATTTGTACGAACATTCTGCATCCATGGTGATGTCATGACTATAAGTCTAGAAATAGCCTCATCTCTCCCTTCTTGCTTTCTTATGTCTGATTTTTGCATCCAATTATATTTATCAAACAGTAGTTTTCTATAAGGCTGCAGCCCTTTTTAAATGTGTCTATTGGCATATCTTTTAGGTGTCTGGAAATCTTATTCTATAGCCGGCTCTGGGTTATCTCTAAGAATATGAATGGAGGGAGTGGAGTGGAGTGAAATAAATCTGAGGGCAATGATTGAAATTCATAAATAATACAAAAGGCACACTTCAGTCAACTCTCCCCCAAGCCTGATGATAGTTTTTCCCTTTCTCTCCTCCTAACTCCTGCTTTTGGCTGATGAGCACAGAAATGACCTTGATTGAGGGAGAAGTCAAGCGGAGGCACGCTCATTATCAAACCTGGAGGGCTGACTGTGTGTATGGATGTGCTGCCCTTCCAGGCCTAGAGAGAGAGATTTTCCCTTAAGGAACAATAGAAAACTGACTCACAACTCCCAGAGAACTGCAAGCGAGGGCTAAAAACTTCAGCCACTCGATCTCCTCCGTGAAGCGGCCCACATTCATCACGCTGTTAAACAGATCTGTTGGGAGATTCAGCACCTTCCACATCTGGGCCAGCTCATCTACATGGATGATCAGTCTGCCAGCAACCTGCAGGCCAGGGGACGGACACAGGGTGATGAAGAGGTGAGAGATGGCCAGAGAGACACCTCCCAGGCCAGACCTGTGCTCTGAGCACACAGCAAGGGACAGTTTGCACACAGCAAGGCGACTCTGTTTGGTAGTTGTCTTTTTGATGCACACTGAGATGTAACTTAATGACTTTTTATAACTTCAGATGTCAGAATTAGGGCATGCCACATTTTAATGTTTTTTTGATGCTTTCATCATCTGCTGTTTCAGTCCAAAAATGTTCCTATATGATAACAGATAGGACAGCCTGAAAACAAAACCAAGGGGCAGAGCACTTGGCTGAGACCACTAATTCGTGGTAAAATGAGAACAGGACATTAGGTTTCTGGCTTCCAGACTTCCCTGAGTTCTTAGTGCCAGACCTCAAATGCATCCCTCATACTTCCTTAGAAATGATAGGGGGTATGTGGCTGACCTACAGGGGGTTGGCTGGAATGCCCATCATTGTTTGGTCTCAGGTACTTTAGAGCCATGTTCACTGCACAAGGTATTCAGTATTAAAAGCAGGGAGAGAAGGAATGGCTGGTTGTCAGCCAACAATACAACAGGCCACAGGTGCCTCTAGTGAAGCACCGCATCATCTTTCCTGGTGCTCTGATTCTGGGGAAATGCTAAGCCTCTGGGACCACGGTAGGCAGCCAAGTCAGTTCTGAATCCACAAACCACTCCGTCCTGGATTCTAAACCAAGGTATGATGATGTTAATCCACATTTCCTAAGAATTGGCCAAACCACAAAACTTTCTCAAGCCAGACCCTCCTTATCTATTTTCGAAGCTGCTTGCAGGATGATGGAGCTGTGAAGAAAGGGCTTTCCCTTAAAGCTCAGCTGTGTGCAACTGAGACAGCTGGGGGGGCTACAATATACCTCTCCCCAAACTGTGACTGGCATCATATTATGGTCTTCATTAGTACAGAAGACACTGTCAAGGGACTAGGGACATGCATACACTTTTCTGGAGTGCATTAGCATTGCATGATCCTCTGGACATTCTATCAGCTTCAGGACACCTGGGATGACCCCACTGACAACTCAGCTTACAGCCTATCTCAAGATTATTCCTATTTCCCCAAGGGAACAGTTACTTTCAGGCCAGGGTTTACTGAGTTTTGAGATGCTACCAAGTGGTCAGGTGACTGACAGGGGGACAATGGCTGTCCCACCACCACCAAGCCTGAACATCATCCCGCATCCTCCCAGATGCTACAGTACAGTCCTTACCCGAGAATGCAGGATCTTCAGCAGCTCAGGTGTCAGCTCTGCCCAGTTCGACAAAGGGACTCGCTCAGATCGCTCTCTCACTGGAGGAATCTCTCCACGGGACATAGCCCCAAAATAACTACAAGAAAAAAAAGTCGGAGGGCCGGGGGAGCATCTTATACTCCAATGGCCTCTGGATGCTTTAGGAATCTGCCTACCGTTTTTGAGGGAAGAGAGTAATGAACCTGTGTTAAGTGGCTCCTCCATGCAAGACACTGTATTTCGTTCATTTATATATGGGGAAAGCCTGAATATGTTACTTTCTACTTATGAGACAAAGAATGTTTAGGGAATAAAAAGATTTGTTTGTAATAACTAACAAAAGTTTGGTGTGCTATATCCTGGAGGATATTGGGTTCAGATTTCTTTTTTCAGTTATCCCTAGTGTGTCACACACACACACACACGTATCAAGGAGATACATATATATATATATATGCTATTTTCATAGTATACATATGTATAGTATATGTGATCTTGGGAAGAGAAGTTGGAAGAGAACTAAAGTGATTTGCATAAAAAGGGGCAGAGAGTGAGGTGCTCTAGAGGTGAGTCAGAAAGGGTTCTGGGGGGAGGTAGTGATGCTTGGTCTTCAAGAGCAGAGAAGGCTGCCAGGGCACTAAGGGAGGTCAGGACACAAGAAAAGCTAAAGACCAGTTTAAAACAACCTTATACTATGCGGTACATGTGAAGTAAAGACCTTCTCTGTCTTTCCTCAACAGGCAGTAAAATCTACATGTTCTCTACCGCTTTGTGGCAGAGTTTGAGGGCAATGTGGAAATAGTACACAGTCCTGTTTCAGGAATTGGCATAGGATACAAAGAGGCTGCCTACAGCAGGGAATGACGTGAGCAGCTGACACACGGGGCATGATGAGTATGGCGGGGTCTGTCCTCTCTATAAAAATCCTAGCTATTGATTATCCCCAAATCACAAATGTCTGTCCCTTCCTGCTTTTTTTCTCGTCATTACTTTCTCCAGATCTGGGTAGTACAAAAAGAATCTAGCTGGAATTTTCCAAAAGCCCGTTTTAGGGCTAAGCCATACAATGATGGGGTGAAAAACTGCCCATCTCTAAGCCACATAGCAATGCAGAGCTGACACTATATGGACTAAAGAAATACATTCCAGTCACCCCCTGAGGTCATCAGTAGAAAGGGCAGAAGAAATACTCTAAGGCCACCATTAACAATGTGCACTGCACACAGAGTTGGAGTGGGTATGGGTGCAGTGTGAAAACAGGTCCAGGGTGTGGCCTCAGGCTTTGTAACCAGACTTGGGAGCTATAAATGGGAGGGACAGAGACATGACCACCTAGATCAGTGGTTCTCAACCTTCCTAATGCTGCAGCCCTTTAATACAGTTTCTGTGAGTTGTGACCCACAGGATGGGAACTGCTGACCTAGATAGAGTGACACTCAGCAGCAAGATCTTGGACATTTTAGTGAAATTCTGTAGAGTACATGGAAACAAGGCTACAGTTGTATAATTTGCCCTCTGAATTATTCACCTGCTTCCTTCACGAGTGAGCAATTCCATGGTTAGATACATATATTGCAAATTTGTGTTGTTACCAAAGGACAAATAAATATATGTCTTCCCAATGCCTGGTAGGTGGTTTCTTTATTGACAGCACATATGTGGGGAAATTCTTGCTTGCAATGAATTAAATACATATTTTTATCTTGGAAATGATTTGTGGAGTTCTATTCTCTAAAATGCTACAGGTTTGTAAGTCACATAAAACTTTCACATGATGAGTGCTTTTCATGTCTGAATAGGATGGAGAGTGCTCTTAGGTCAAGCTCTCTTTTTTCATTGTAGTTAAACTACAAACTGATTTTTCATGGATGTCTAAAAAATTTATAGCACATGATACACTATGGGAGCAAGAAGGCTACAATCGTGGAATGTTTTCTTCCATAAATGTCAGGGGCAATACCAAGAAATGCCATTTTTCTTATTATAGAACAGCAGTACAAGAACAATAAAATGAGTTTTAGAGTACTGTACAGTGTAAAACAAAGTCTGTCTGACTATGCCAAAGAAATTAGTCTTCTGATGCTAAAGTTCAATCTTAGAGGTAATATATAAAATTTAAAATGGAAAACTAAGCATGGCTCGTCACCAGGCAGAGAAATCCCATTTTTCCCTTTTTATGAGCACTACTGGCTTATTTTCCTTTCATTTGCAAAAGCTTCATCCTAACTCAGCCCCGAAGCACAAGTGCTCTGGCTCAGAGACTCTCAGAGGCCTCTCTGAGGTGACACGCCGTGCCTTCACGAAAGTCATCCACGCTTTCTCCCCACCATCCTCTCAACACACCCACTCACAACAGCAAGCTGAGGACATTCTCCCTTCCCCCAGCCCACGGGTTCCCTTCCAACAGCTTCTCTCGCTCCCCCTTTCCTACTTCAACACCTGAAGGGGTAATCATCAAACAGTGAAAGCCTGAGAATTGTCAGGGAGGTCTAGTTAGCTCTCAACTCCTGCCCCAAGTCCTGATCCCCCAGTTCCAAGCAGGCGAGTTTGTCTAAGAAGTAATTTCATAGCTGAGAGGCTTTCTGTGTAAAGCTGCTTCATTGCAGGCCAGTAGCTATTGTTGCGTGAGCTCCATCAATTGAGCATTCTCTGGAGGTCCCTCCTGCAGGAGACACCCGTGTGAGAGGCACGGTTTTCAGCCAGGCAGGGCCTCCTCACTCTCCTTTGCCTCCTTTCTCCTATGCTGTCTGTACTGTGTGGGCATCTTTACATTGCAGGGACACATTAGTTCAAAGAAACGCTAAAGAAAATAACAATAGTTTCCCCAAAGCTAAGATCCACAGTGTCTTTGGCTGGGTGCAAGTACGAATTTTAACAGCCGTGGAGGAAGGTGTCTGTGTCTCATTAAAGAGTGACCAGCTAGACTGACTGCCACCTTAGTCCGCCCCCCAGATTCACTTCTGCCATCTAGTGGTGAGACAGGAGAACGAAGAAAGGCAGGCTAAGCTCAGGAGGAGATTCCCAGCCCGTCCTTCCATCTGGATAGGGGGAGGGGACGGGAAGGGGGGAGTGATGTGGTAATTCTCCTCTGGCAGCTTGTCCCAGGACACTTGGCGTATTGCCCTGGCGTCCTACTGCTCGGTCTGACCCGCTTAGGGAGGGCATCCCATCCTCGCCCGATTTGGTGTGTGAATTTTAAAGCACCGAAGCAATGCAAGATCTGAGTATCACAAAGCTCATGCTAATCAGTCCTGACTCCCTGGCTGCAGCCATGGCAACCTCCTCACTTTTCCCTGACCGCCGGCTCTCCCCCACGCCCTCCGAGGGGGCAGAAGGTGAGGAGGGAACACGTACTCGGCAGCCCACTGGATGAGGTCCTGCGGCTGCGTGCGGATGGCGGCTTTGGTGAACTGCTTCAGCAATTCCGGCAGCTCCGGCGGGATGCATATTTGCTTGTCGGTCTGAAGCATTGATTGGTTGACCTGTTCTCAGAAGAAAAAAAATGGATAAGATTAAAACTTCAAATCATAAGAAGATACCAGTCCTGGAGGTCATCCAGCCTCTGACACTCTCAATTTTGAGGACTCCAGAAAACATGTATTCTATTACGAAACTCCAAGGTTAGAAAGCAGTTTACTAATCCCTGCCTTTTGTGGGAAATATTAATAGTTAAGTTCTTTACATAAAGAGAAGACAGTACTGTTCATTTAAAAAACCGAAATTAGGAAGTAAACAAATACATCTTCTAAATAATATCACCCCAAAACATTGGATTTGCCTCCTTCCAGAACTTTTCAATATAAATATATTATTTATACATATGTTTGTGAAAATTTAAAATAAGGTTATTCAAAACAACTAATTTACTCACAGCATATCATGAACAGCTTCCCATGTCACTCAACTCGTTAGTGCAGTAAGAATTGTACCAAAATACATGTGAATCCTCTTTGATTTAACATTAGGTTATCTCCAAATAAAAATAACCATTAAGCAGCCATTGATGACCATCTCTCCTTATATCTGTGTCTCTTATCTCCTCTACTAGAGAAAAAAGCTTGTACATTTTCACTCAAAAAGTTCCAGCACAAATTGAAACAAAACATGAAAATCCATAGATGATATATGGTTCTATATACAAATAAACAACAGATTAAAAGATTTGTCTGCTTTTAGTAGAGAACAGGACAAACTAGATATGCTACAAAGCTCTCCTTCAAAACACCTAAATGCCAGACTAATCTCAGTAAACATACTTTCAAATTGGCTTGCCAAGCTTGAGATAACGTGAGAGAAATCTTCAAGTCCTGGACACAGTAGAGCAGAATCCATTGTAGTGAGCAAATGAAGAAATTAGGCTGTCTTGGGGGCAAATGTAGACATCAGGAACTTGAAACTTTGTGATAAATGGCCAGGCAAAGAGGAATGAAACCAGGGTTTGAGCTCACAAAAAGCAAATGGCTGGACTAAAGGACTCCCCTTCTAGCCTTAACTTGAGACCCTCCAACAGACTATACCTTCAGTGTGAAAAAGTGGGACTGAAAATATCTGCCTACAGGTAGGGGTAAGCAACAACAACAAAATCTGTCTCCCTTGCCCCTTCTTGTTACAGGAGAAATAGTCCCCCAAGAATATGTAGCCAAAGGCTGGGTTTAAGTTTTAAATTTATGCCAACATCAGCCCAGTTGGGAAATCCCAAGACAAGAAACTAAAGTGATCTTAGGTTGGTGCTACTGTGTTACCTTTACTTTATTTATATAGTTCATTTATTTGGAGGATAAAACAATGATTAATTTTAGACTCTGTAAAAAGTTAATTATGCATAAATTTTTTCCTTGCATTCTTGACATTTTACAAAGCTCTGTAGAAAGGAGAAAAGGTATTAAACACAGAGGCTAGAAAATTAAGTTTGCCAGCTCATCCTAGAAAAAGAGCTACATGCCTCACTGCTGAATATCACTACAGCCACCTTTGAAGTACTCCCCTTGGCCATCTGCTACTGTAGTGATATTCAGCAATGAGGCATGTAGCACTTTTTCTAGGATGAGCTTGAGAACTTAACTGTCCGACCTTGTACATGCATGTGCACGCATACACACACACTCTTTGATCAATCCAAAAGGCGGCAAGAAAGGAGTGTGGAAAGCATAGGAAAAGTGGACAAATGACACAATAGAAAGTAATCCGTACAGTCACAATAAAAAGAAATGGTCTTAAATGTGCCAGTTAAAATGTAAGTATAGCTTATATTATAAAGGCACAAAGACTGGAGGTAAAGGGATAGAAATAAGCAAATAATAACCAAAGGAGTTGATGTGGACATTAATATCAGACAAAAGAGATTGTAAGGCAAAATTCATTTTTAGGAATAATGAGTGTCACTACATAATGATAAAAGTTTCAATTATTGAGAAGATAGCACAATTTTCAATGAGTATGCTATAGATATCCTCATGGAAGAAGAATCTCATAATGTTAGGAGGACAAGCAATATATTGTTTAGGGTTACAGAAATGTATACGAGGTGTTATAATATTGTAATAAAGAGTAAGGGGCTGGATGCAGTGGCTTACACCTGTAATCCACTTTGGGAGGCCAAAGCAGGAGGACTCCTTGAGCATAGGAGTTCAAGACCAGCCTGAGCAATAATACAGCGAGACCCTGTCTCTAGAAAAAAATAGAAAAATTATCCAGGTGCGGTGGTGTGCACTTGTAGTTCCAGTTACTCAGGAGGCTGATGCAGGAGGATTGACTGAGCCCTAGAGTCTGAGGTTACAGTGAGTTGATGATGCCACAGCACTCTAGCCCAGGCAACAGAGAGAGACCCTGTCTCCAAAAAATAATAATAATAATAATAAAGTAACAAAAGGGGATGATAAATGCAAAATTACAATGGCAGTTCCTTCTAGTGGAGAAAGGAGAGGCATGTCATGAGGGAGAAGCCACAGGGGTCTCAATCCTATTAGCAGTGTTCTATGTCTTACCTGGGCGGATGGCTGCCTAGATGTTTGTTTCATTATTTTTATACCTATGATTACATTGTGTGTTTTATTTTATATGTGTGAAATATTTCATAAAAATTACTGTTATAAGTTGTTTCTAATGACTTTTCAATCCATTTTATCTAGCCAACAGTAGTGCCTTATTTTGTCCATATTGTGGACAAAATAATATATATATATTCTTTTATTGTGGTAAAAATACATAACATAGAAGGTACCATTTTAACCTTTATAATTGTACAGTTTGGTGGCTGTGAGTACATTCACACTGACTGTTGTTCAATCATCACTATCATCCATTTCCAGAACTTTTTCATTTTCACTGACTGAAACTCCGTACCTGCCACCAAGATGGCCCCAACAAATGGAAACTTTTAAGAGTTTTATTCCTTCTCCTTAACAATTTATCTTTAGTTTCTTTATCTAGAGGCACAGCGGCTTAAGCACACCAGATCACCCAAATGGTACAATTAGACACCTGGGGCCAGGCACACTGGCTCATGCCTGTAATCCTAGAAAGCAGAGGCAGGTAGATTGCTTGAGCTCAGGAGTTTGAGACCAGCTTGAGCAAGAGTGAGACCCTGTCTCTAAAAATAGCCGGATGTTGTGGTAGGTGCCTATAGTCCCAACTACTTGGGAGGCTAAGACAAGAGGATTGCTTGAACCCAGTAATTTGAGGTTGCTATGAGTTGTTATAGCACAGCACTCTACCGAGGGCAACAGAGTGAGACTCTGTTTCAAAAAACAAACAGCCACATGACTTTCTGCAGGATGTTGGAGGAAGTCCAGACCTGTGCAAAGCGCAGGTGCAGATCACAGTAAATGACCTCCAGTTACCTTTACCTCATTAACATATTATAATGCACTATCAATATATTAATCACTCCCCGGGAGACTCACTGTCATTTTATGTACACATGACATATGAGGAAGCACATATGTGAACTGTGTCTGTGCATCTGAAACTCCACCTTGTACATGCTTACACACCTTCTTCATCCCGTATCTAACTTTTTAAAACTCCTACACCTTTCTTTGCTCAGGGAGAAGGTGCCTTTAGATCATAAGCTCCTCCCCTTCTCCATTCTTTGGCCACTGAATTAAAATCTGAATGCTTTACCAGTTGGACATTCTTTTTCTGTGGCTGATAAAAAGCAGGGAAGAAACGTGGGGTCTGGGTAACATATCCATTAAATACTATCCTCCCATTTCTCCCTTCCTCCAGCCCCTGGCAACCACCATTCTGCTTTGTTTCTATGAATTTGATTATTCTAGGTACCTCATAAAAGTGGAATCGTACGATGTTTGTCCTTTTGGGACTGGCTTATTTCATTTAGCACAAAGAATTTCCTTTATTTTTAGGCTGAATAATATTCTGTTATAGGTACCACATTTTGTTTAGCCACTCAACCATCAATGGCTGGACCTTTCTCCCTTTTGGCTATTGTATAATAATGTTGCTGTGACTACAGGTGTACAAATACCTGTTCAAGCCTCTGTTTTCAATTTTGTTGGGTAGATGCTAGATCATATGGTAATTGCATTTTAATTTTTAAGGAACTACTACCCTGTTTCCCACAGGAGCTGCACCATTTTACTGCCTCCAAATATTTTGACAGGATTTTTTAGTTATTGTGCAATTGTAAGGCTTCTATTGTGAATTCTCAGGTAACCTCATGTAAATGAAAAGATGGCCCAACCCTAATTAAAGAAGGCTCCAACAATAACAATGATAGCCCTTGGTCAGTATAGAGCAAACATGAGTAAAGTCTTTATTCTACCCCATTGCCTTTTCTAACAATTTTTCCATGAACTCTCTTCATTTTGGGGTAATGACTCTCTTGTAAATTGCCAGTACCCACTGTCCTTTCTCAATGCTCTGTCCTTTAACTACTTACAATTTTTTCTCCTCTCACCAGTCTGTTGTTCCCTTAAAAGTCATTACCTCTGTTAATTTCTTTTAAGGGCAAAGGACTGGGCTAAGTATTCTATATGTATTTTCTCATTTAATCCTCAGCATATCCCTATGAGGTAGATTGTATTATCATCATTTTACAGATGATGAAACTAATAAAGAGAATAAACTTTTTTTTTTTTTGAGACAGAGCCTCAAGCTGTCCCCCTGGGTAGAGTGCTGTGGCATCATAGCTCACAGCAACCATCAACTCTTGGGCTCAAGCGAGTCTCCTGCCTCCACCTCCCAAGTAGCTGGGACCACAGGCATCCGCCACAATGCCTGGCTATTTTTTGGTTGCAGCTATCATTGTTGTTTGGCAGGCCCGGGCTGGATTCGAACCCGCCACCTTAGGTCTATGTGGCTGGTGCCTTAGCCACTTGAGCCACAGGAGCTGAGCCGAGAATAAAACTTTTACAATGATAGCTAATAACTGACAGAGGCAGGATTTGAACACACATAGTCAGTGGCAGAAGAGTGGATGCTTCTCCACTAGGATTCATCATCTGTCTTCCAGCCAATCTTC